TAATTAGAGAGATATATTATTTTTTGCGTTTTTTTAAAAAGTTTCTAGTATTAATATAACTATTTCTTTAAAAGTTATATATATAATTACGGGATTCGAAAAACGAATTATAAATAATAAAATATAATTATATAATTTTATATTTTATAAATAACTTAATTAATAAACTCGATTCTATTAGATTTAATAAATTTAGAAATTATATATTAATATTATAATACTATAATTCTTATTTCTAAATATTAATTACTTTACTAATTTAATATATTAATATTTTATATATATTATATAATAGTATTATATATTACTAATAAACTAATACTAATATTTAAATAATTCTTTTCCTAATATTAGAATTAATATTCTATTTTATTTTTTTTATAAAATAATAATAATATACTTTTTCTAATTAAAAAAATTATTATTTATTATTATTTAATATTAATTTCTTTAAAAATAAAAAAAGCTTTATATTAAATAAAAATATAATTAAATAAAAATATAATTAAATAAAAATATAATTAAATAAAAATATAATTAAATAAAAATATAATTAAATAAAAATATTATTTTATTTAATAAGCCTATATTTACTAGTTTATATATATAAGATATTTTATATATAAATAAAAATCTAAATTTTTCTAAAGTTAAAGTTTTAATTTTATAAAATATAATTTAGTTATTTTTTTATTTTTTTATAAATTATAAATTATAAATTATTATAATTAATAGAAATTATAAACTCTTAAAGTAAAAGTCGTAACTTTTAGTTTTTAAGGCCTAAAAGCGTTTTTATAAAGTCTAAAAATACTTAAAAAAAAATACCCTATATATATAAACTAATAAATATAGGCTTATAAGTAATTAAAGAATATAAAAAAGTTTATTTTTAATAAATTATTAAATAATAAAATAATTCTTAAATATTTTTATTTTACTAATAAAAAATTATATTATATTAATTTTTTTATATATATTTATATTTAAATCTAAACTATAATTCTTTAATATTCTTTAATAGTTTAATTTTAATATTTTATATATAATTTCTTATAATTCCTTAAACTAAAACTAATATAATATTAGAAAAAGAAGCTATACTTAAATATAGTTATTAATAAATAATATTTAATAATAGATTAGATTTCGAGATTAAGATTTTATTATAAATTATAAAAGAAATATATTATAATTAAATACTTAATTTTCTTTTAGTAATATGTTTTTTATTTATAAAATATTTAGATAAGCTTATATATAATTAAGATTTTTAATATAATAATATAAACTTATTTTATTTTATTAATATTTCTTATATATAAATTTTATATTATAAATAAACTTATTAATAAAACTAAATAAATTCTTATTTTTAAAACTATTTATAAAAGTATTATAATAGTAATTAAAGTTTATAAAAAGCCTAGAATTAAGAAATCTATTAATATATAAAAAAATAATTTAAAAATTTAAAGTATTTAAATTATATAAATAAAATAATAAAATATATTTTATTATTTAGTTTATATTTTAATAAATATTTATTATTAAACTTATAAATTATAATATTCGAAACTTATATTTTAAATAAAACTTTTCTAAATTTATTAACTAATAGAAAATATTATAATTATTAGAAAATATAAAATATTAAAAATAAATAAATATTAATAATAATATAAAATATCTTTATATAAATTGTATTATTTATTTTAATATTAAAGCCGAAAATATTTTCTTTAATAAAAGATATTAAACTAAAATTTATAACTTTAGATATTTTATTTAATATATTATTAAACTAATATCTTTTAATAAAGAAATATTAACTTATATATTATTAGAATTTATTTTTAGTAATAATTAATAATATCTTATTAATATTTACAAATTTAAACTTATTATAGGATTTATTCTTAATATATAATAGCTATAATTAGTTAGTAATTAGAAAATTATAGATATTTATTATAAGCTAGATTTTATTATAAAGATATTTAAATAATTTAATAAAGTTAAAAAAAGTAAAAAGAAAATATTAAATAAATAATTTAAATAAATGAATTATATTTTTAAATCTAATTAAGAATTTATATATATTATTATAAATTAAGGCTTTTATTAGGGAATTTGTTTTTTTAAATAAAAGAAGTCTTTTATTTTTATTTTTTTTAGGAAACAAGTATTATAAATATATATAATAATACTTTTATAATTATTTTTATAATACTTTTATTTTATTTATATATTTATAATTATTATATTTTTAATACTAAATTATATATTTATTATTATATACTTTTAAAATTATATTAATAGCTTGAGCTATTACTTATTTATATAAAAAGAAAAAGCTTATTTATTTTTAACCTAAACTATTTTAATTATATAATAATTTTATCTTTTTAGAATTATAATTAAAATAAGATAATTTAAATTAAAATATTAAATAATATAAGCTTTCTAATTATTTTTTTTTCTAATTATTTTATAGCTTTTTTCTTTTATTATAAATTTAAATTCTAATATATTTTATTTATATAATATTAATATATATAATAATTGAATTATAGAAAACTTATTTAAATAGCTTTAATTTATTTATTAAAACTAAATATAAATCTATAGTATTTACTTTTATATAATAATTCTTTTTTAATTATATTAAAAAAATTAAAAAATATATTTAAACTTCTTATATACTTTTTTTATATTATTATTAAAACAAATATTTAATTAATATATTATATTATATTATATTATATAGTTTTCTCTAATATTTATTTATTTTATATATTAAACTATAAAAAGATATATATAAATAAAAGAACTAATTTAGTTTTTATTAAATAAATAATTTAGAAAGTTCTTTTATATTAAAGTTTAATAAATTATAATTAGAAAAAATTTAAAAAAATATAAGGTTTTATTTTAAGCCTAATTAAATTAACTAAATACTAAAAAGATAATTTATATATAAAAATATAATTAGAAATTATAAAATTCTAATTATAAAGCTTAGACTTTCTAAATTATATAATATAAAGCTATTTTAAAATAAATAATTTATAATACTAGAATTAGTTATATATAAAATTAAAATAAATCTATTATTTTTATATTAAAAGTTAGTTATAAAACCTTTAAGCTTTATTTATTATTTCTATTTTTATTTAAAAGAATTATTATTAGTTTACTAATAATATATAATATTATTATATAATATTATAAAATATCTAATATATTAAATTAGTAAAATTATTATATTTTAGAGATAAAAATTATAAAAGATTTAAATAATATATACTTTGGTATTTATATGCTTTCTGTTTTATTAGAATCTTTAAAATAATATAATATCGAATATAATATTACTAGATAAGTAATTTAAATCTTGGTTTTTAAAAAATAATTACTAATATATTTTATTTTAATTCGAGATAATACTAGCTCAAATAATACCTTATTAAAGGCTTTTATAAAGCATTATAATAAGGAAGGCATTAAATTTCAAGGAGGTATTCCTTGTTACGGGTACGGCATTCAGGGCTTGGAAAGCAAGGTAGAAGGCCCCTTACGAAGACGATTCAAAGCTAAGGAAGGGAAAACTAGAATACAGGAGGCTGCGAGCTTAAGTGCACCCACAATGCACTAGCCCCTAAGGGGCCTAGCGTCCTAAATATCTCCATGCGCATTCCCATGCTAGCTGTCAGGTGACTGTATCAGGTGACCAGAACGTCAGAACCTGAACTGTGATATTCCTTATATAGCTTATATATTAAACTTAGTAATTTAAGATATTTTAAAAGCTCTTATTAAAAATAATTATAATACTTCTTATTCTACTAATTTATACGAGCAAGAAATAGAAGAACTTGAAAATAGAGAAGAAGATAAAGAAAGAAAATAAGTAATAAGTAAATTTCCTATATAATTTATAAGAGATTTATTAATAATTATAGATTTATTAATTTAAAGAAAGGTTAGAAAGACTATTATAGGTCTTAAATATAACCAAGAAAACGGGCGGCTATTAGAAGCTTAAATTAAAGCTTTTAATATAGAAAATACTCGATTTCCTTAACTTAGTAAATAATTAATTTTTTTAATTTTTAATTATTAATTAATACTAATTATTTATAGATTAAAAAATATAGTAGTCTTTGGTTTATTATATATTAAAGAACTTTATATATATATATATATAAAGCTATTAAAGTAGTTATTAATAGTTCTAATTTAAAGACTTTTAAAAATAAAAGTCTAGTTTTAACTAATATTGAAATTACTTATTTAAATAATATTTTAAATATAATTTCAATATTTATTAAAGCTATAACTAAATTACAAGCCGAAAATTACCTTATTATATATTATATTATATCTGAGGTATATAAAATATATAATAAACTTAAAAATTTTAAAAAAGAAATTTAAAGTAAGTTTTTTCCTAAATTCTTCTTATATTATTAATAATATTATACTAATTTTTAATAAGATAAAGCATTTACAGATACTATTAATAAGGGTATAGCTAAGCTTCGAAAATATTATCCTAAAACAAGCGTTTTAGATAATAAAAGTAAAGCTTTATATTTAGTTCTTATTCTTGATTCTCGAATTAAACAAGAAGAATTAACTAGTATTGGCTTATCTAGTAATATATCTTTAGATATATATAATAGATTAAAGACTAATTATAATATATAAGTGATTTCTTTTATTATCTTTTAATTAATTAATAACTAATTTTTTAATTTATATATAAATACAATTATAATATATCTCAAGCTAGATCTGATTCCGACTCTAACGATTTAGATATATATATTACTAATTTGTCTTCTAATATAGAAGACGAATTAATAACTTATTTAGAAGAAAAGAGAGAAAATAAAAAAGTAAGTAAAATTCACTTATATTATATTAAATATCTGCCCGATATTCTCTTAATATTTTTTAATATATTAGTACTAATTTATATATAGACTAAGCCTTTAGATTATTGGAAGTCTAATGCCGCTAGATTTCCCGTTTTAGCTTTAATAGCTAGGAAATATTTAAGAATCCCGGCTTCTTTGACTTCTAGTAAGAGATTCTTCTCTCAGGGTGCTCTTATTATAACTAAATTACGAAATAGACTTAATAAGAGTACTTTTGAGATAATAGGTTGTTTAAAAAGCTGGGGGTTATTTAAAGATGAATTAGAAGAGGCTAAAAAGGAGGATAAAAGAGAAGGAATAAAGGAGAAAAATCAAGATTTGGAAGAGAATAATTAGTTTGTTATTATAGAAAATTAGTATTTAATTAGGTTTATATAAGTTTTATCTAAGCTTAACTAGGGCTGCTTAATAGGTACCTTATTTACTTAATAATTATTAAGTAAACTGTAGTTTTCTAAGGTCACGTGATGTCACGTGATCTAGTAATCACCAGTATTCATGAATATATATTCTACTCTACTCTACTCTAATTTTTTATTATTATTTTTTGAATTACGCTACTCATATTCTATTCAAGATATTCATGAATATTCATGAATACCTTGAATACCTTGAATATTTTTTTGACACACTGTATTAGCCTGTATTCTTAGCTCTTTAAAGGCATAAAATAGCTAAGCTAATACATTATCTATAGTACTAATCCGCTACTATATGATTTCAAACCCCCTCCGTCAGCTTTTCCACGGCTACGAGTCTGCCTCACCTTTTATGCTATTATTATGGCTCCGCTATAACGCCTGGGGTAGCAGGAAGGATAGTATTTATGCTATTTAAACATGGATCGGTGATCGAATTCAGTTATTCGTACCGACGCATGAACGAAAACATTTGCAATAGTGGCCCTAACGTGGACTCCGTGGCCGTATCGCAGCTAGTAAAAGGATGTCACTACGATCTCGGCAGGTGCTAATAACCTCCCCATACTCCGACGCATGAACGGAGGTGGAAAGAATATGAGGCGCTCCGTATTCTATTCGAGTATCCCGGAAGTGGCCGTTCAGTCCCAACGTCTTTCGGAACACTAAGTATTGACGACTACAGCCTCGAAAGAATAATCTTCCTTTTTAATAAAATGGGCCAGATCAGAACTGCGACTCGATCTCAAGCAATGGATACCCTCGAAGCAATGAACTTTGGCATGTTGGAATGGCTATTGGACGGCAAGCTTAGCATCAGAAATATGCTGAAGTTGCCTGAGAAAGAGTTTCAGAGGAAGAAGGGTGATCTTGTGGATTTTCTCGATTGGAAGCTTGATAATCCCAAGAAGAAGTACTTCACCGTTAGTGGCAGGCGATTGAAGAAGGAGCGCCCTGGGAAGTGGATATTTGGCAATTAACGAGCTGCTGAGTTACTCCAACTTCTGCTTTGCGGTGGAGCATCTCCAGGTGTAAAATAGTTGAGGAAGGTCAGCAATAAGAATCTCGATGCAGCAAGGTGTGTAAAGAAGAGGTTGACTTGTCTTCTCTGCAGTCGTGCTCTTACTTTCTCCACGAGTGATATCAAACCTGTTCCCCGCTTCTAGCAGCATGTCTATCACGCACGGGATATTGTTTATATTCTCGCCAAAGGTTCCTTCATTCATACTCCCGAGGCTGGGGATAAGGAATTATCGAATAATTTCGTAACCCCATGTCTAGTATTTGCTTTTCTTTCGGTGTATGTTTTGGTAACCTAGAGGAGTTTCTCAAAGATGTTCTTAATTTCCATTAGTGTTTTCATTGGACAGGGGAGAGGCATTTGTAATGGGCGCTTGACGTTAAGGGCGGGAAGTGGAGGCTGTGCCAAGCCACGAGGCGCTGCGCAACCAACAACCAACATACCTACCATAAGCAAATCTGCCTTGGCTACAAGCTTGAAACAATATCCCACGCGGTTTATTAGTTCGTAGGACTTCGGTTTTAAGTCCCTTGCCCAGCTTCTGCGGCGTTTGTAATTAGCGAGAAGGCAACTCGACATGAGTTCCAAGTCTCCAATGCAGCCACCCTCGAAAGACGGGTAGTCGAGTGGGGGGTTTTATTTCAATCTTAAAGCAATCGAGCTCCTCTGATAAGGAGATATCCATCATATATGGAGCACTTCAAGAGGCTGGCGGTTGGATCTACGTATCTTTTCTCGTACCGGTATGTCTTGATCCCTAATTTTTCGAACCTTGCTGCTAACTAGTTTCGCGGAAATTCAAATCCAAACAGCACGTATTATAGCACTTATAATGAGGCTGCTCAATACAAAAACGTTCCAGCTGGAGGAGGTCCCATCCAAACCACAAAAGTATGCTATCTTGTCGCACACATGGGAAGAGAACCAAGAAGTAGCCTTCGAGGAAATGGGGACACCAACAGCAAATAACAAGAGAGGACTCCGAAAGATCGAAAATTTCTGCAAACAGGCCGCAATTGATAATTACAACTTCGTGTGGGTGGACACATGCTGCATCGACAAGCGAAGCAGCTCAGAGCTCTCGGAGGCCATAAATTCGATGTATGAGTGGTACAAACATGCGGACAGGTGTTATGCATATCTGAGTGATGTGAAGGATAGGGATCCTACGCGACGAGAATCTCAACTCAGAGTTAGCAACTGGTTTACGAGAGGGTGGACCCTCCAAGAACTCGTTGCCCCGAAGCACGTCGACTTCTTCGGCGAGGATGATAAAGGGGACTGGTTCTTTTTGGGAACAAAGGACGATCTACGGAATGTTGTATCAAATATCACGAAGATCGATGCCAACATTCTCAAATGCAGCGAAGGGATCTTCAAGGCAAGCATTGCACAAAGGATGTCATGGGCATCGGGAAGGAAGACTACGAGGCCAGAAGACATTGCGTATTGTCTTCTTGGTATCTTCAACGTCAATATGCCTCTCTTATATGGGGAAGGCGAAAAAGCATTCACACGGCTTCAGGAGAAGTTACTCGATGTATCGAGCGACCACACTATCCTTGCATGGTCTTTTGCTGGAGACGGGCATGTACAAAGACAACTTCCTCGCACTACTGAAACCTTACTCGCACCTTCGGTGGAAGCATTTAGAGATTGCGCCAACATCGTTCGAAGTCGGGAAGTTTCCTCTTCCTCACACTGGATGGCAAACATCGGTCTCAGTATCACGCTGCCCACTGTCGTAGACCGTAGCACCGGATCTAGAGAATACTACGGGTTTCTGGACTGCTATCGAAGAAGCTCCGACCAGCCCAATGATGATTTAGAACGGATATGCCTTGCTCTGAGATATATTGGTCACTCACAATTCTATCGGGTTGCGACAGCAGAGAGGACAATCTGGGAGCGGCACTATTCGGCTCGAATGACACCGATGTATATTGCGCGAAACCGCCCAGATCCTCTGCTCTACTCGATGTCTAGATCTACAATTACCTCCGAGACTCCGTCCACAGACTCGATGCCCTCTCGCCCTAGCAAAATAGGTGGCGTGAGTTGGGCTCTGCGTGCGCTCCATGGCCTTTGGCCATGGGACATTTGGATCAAACGAGAACTTTCTAACCACGAGAATGCCCCTCTATTACCCAGCTCCGTTGGCAATGTCCTTCAAGACCAATCAGACTTTAGGCATGACCGATGGAGTCAAAGGCTGAGGAAGGTCGTCCAAGGTTGCGCAAGGTGGCCTTTGAGAACCTTTCGGAAAGTTCAAACCTTCCTGATCCGCAACGGCACCAAACTTCTTATTATCTTCGTTCCCTTGGGGCTCTTAGCTGGTTCACTCCCTTCGGATCCGACACTTGTGCTCGTACTTAATTTCTTGGGTATCATGGCACTTGCACCCTTGTTGGCATTTGCTACCAAGAAACTGTCGTCAAACGTATGTTTTACTCTTGGCCAGCTAATAAATGCAGTACTCGGAAATGCTATGGAGATGATTGTAAGCTTCAAACCATTTTGTGGTTCTTTGGTTTACGCTAACAGAGCGTTTTATTTTACAGATTTGCATTGCGGCATTGAGAATTGGGCAAGTGGATATCATACAGTGGAGCATAGTGGGGAGCATAACCTCATATATCTTGCTTGTAAGCCTAACCACTGCCCGACTAAACTGTTCTATTATTGATTGAGCTTTAGGTCCTTAGATGCTGTTTCGGTGTGAGCGGCATGCTTCAATTAGAGCAGACTCTCAACTTTACAGCTGCCTCGACGATGCTTTCATTGATGGCTGTGGCATTAGCATCCTTGATTCTTCCCGCAACTTTGTACACGGTCTTACAAAAGTCTGCGGCGGATACCGCGGATGCTATTCTCGGGTTATCTCGCGGTGTCGCCATCATCCTTCTCGTTCTCTTCTGCATTTACCAGTATTTCCAACAAAAGTCGCCAACCAATTTTTTCGATGTTGAACAGCCCGAAGAGCAAGGTGAGCTACAATCAGCAAAAATGATGGACCTCAAGTATTTTGTCGCTATGATTGCTTTTATATTCCTCATCACAATCCTCATCGGAATGATGTCGGTTTGTGCCGACAACCTTGTCGGCTCTATCGACTCCGTTCTGCAAAGGACTCGGATCACTCAAGGATTTATTGGTTTTGTTTTTCTTCCCATGGTCGGCAGCACAGCAGCACCATCCAAAGCTGTTATTACTGCCTACAATAATAGACTCGATCGGGCGATCGACGTTGTGATCACCAATGTCATGCAAATCACGTTGTTCGTCATGCCATCGGTGGTACTGCTGGGATGGGCTATCGATCAGCCTATGCAGTTGGAATTCGGGTTTCTGGAGACATTGTGCTTCTTTTTGGGTGTATTTGTGGTCAGCCTCCTAGTTCACGATAGGAAGATCAACTACTTAGGAGGCGCCGTTTGCATTGCGATGTGAGTTTTGGAATTCTTTTCTCTGCTATAGTGAGGGATGTATCATTTGACTAATTCTTGCCAAACAGATATTTCATGATTGCTCTGACAATGTACTTCTATCCGGATGACCAGAATGTCTGGCCTGGCGACCAGAATCGAGACTGATCTCGATGTGTATCCTATGAAGTATCATATGAATCAAGCTTCAAGCTGCAATATCAAGCTGAAAATAATCGCACCCCAATTCTGCGCTTTGGTGAAAATGCCAATCTGGGAAAGGACCAAGAAGACGGACGCCCAAAAATTCTGGAAGTATCGACAACACCATTTCTCGCATCAACCAGGTCTACAACCCTCCTTCCAAGACCAGCTCTTATTATGCCTCAGGAACTCATGGGTAAGGACCGGCGTCGCCGTGTAATGGCTTCTCCCCATCGTCCAACCTGAAGACCAGAAAATGTCCGTTTCTCCTCAAAGCGCTCCCTCTGAGGCGTTTGGGACAGCGCTATAGCTAAATCAAGTAAAAGTCTTGGTAGACGTATTGTCCTTCTTTTTCTGTCTCGATGATCTCGCCATCCATAATTCCGTGCACATCACTATCAAAACTAAGTATGTTTATTGACTTAGGGATCTCTGGCGGACTTACCAATCCCCAATCAACTTATAGAAGTTGTCGCCACAAGAGCGAAGTATAAAAGCAACATAGCTGCCGAGAAGGACGCAAAGGAGATCCCCAGGCTTGGTTATTTGTGGCCCCACACCCATTCTACCAGCGGAGGTTATCATGAATCTTCTTCCGCTTAGCATACCTGTCTCCTCACCAATGACGGTCGTAATTCGTGACTCGATCTCCGGGGTAGCTGGGGGTAAATATTCAAGGGCTCCCTGTATTCTTCGCGGCGGGTCCAGCTCAAAGATTTGATCTTCCCTAAACTCAAAAGTTTCCATGCCACATAAAATTGTTGACCAAAAGTTCAATTGCTGTATAGAGCCCATGGAATTAATATCGTTCGAGATTCCAGCAACGTCTTTCCAATCGCTTATGACAGTCCGAAAAGCTCCAGCCCCGGCAGATTCGTCGGTCTCATGTGCAAGAAGTTGGCCCACTCGTCCCACCACGTCAACCTGAATTCCCTGCACCACCAAGACGGCACTTTTGTTGTTTATACGCACTGAAGGAGTTGCATGCCATGGTATATGACCAGAAGGTGAGTATGCTTTGGCATCTTTGGCTATATTATAGAAAATAAAAGATTTATAAGCTTTTATTAGATTAAATTATCTTATTAATAACCCTATATAATTCGAATGCCTTATTAATATTTTTAGAGGCTTTTATTTAGAAATAATACAAGGATTTTTAAAAGCTCGGGAATAAGTTTATTTTAAAGAGAAAAGTAATATTATAATTCAGGTTTTAATATTCTAGTTATTTAATATAATTATTTAATAAGTAATATAGAAATATATATAGGAAATTTAGAATACTAAGTCTTATATAAGCTAGTATATTACAAGTATATTTATATTCTTATAACTTTCTATATTCTAGCTCTCTTTCTTTTAATTTTAAATTATTTTTATAAAAAATCTTCTATTTTACTTTTTAAGCCTTAAATGCCGTATTTATAATAACTTAATTAAATTATAAAAAATAATAAATAAATTATATATTTTTAAGTAAAATATTAATTCTTCTTATATATAAAACTTATAATTAAAACTAGCCAAATATTAATAAATTCTTTACTTATTATAATATTCTTATTTTATATAATATAAGAAATAAATAGATTAGATTAGATTAATAGCTATTAATCAAATTTATTTATAATACCTTAATTAATATATATATAACTATAATATATAATAAGCTAACTTTTTTAAATAAGGATCTAGCTCTAGTATTATCTTGCTTCTAAGAAAAAAAGCCTGCTAAGTATAATAGTACTAGCTAGGGGCTAAAGAGAAATAGCTATTATATAACTAGTTTTACCTAGCTAGCCGGCGTTTTATTAGTTTTAGCTAATACTTCCCTTCTTTTATTCCCTTTCCTTCTCTCTCTTTCCTTTTTCTCTTTAGCTTAGTATTTTTAATATATAAGATTCTTAGATCTTTAAGCCCTGGCTATTATCTTAACCCTATTATTATATTATACTAAGCTTACTTAATTTGGCCTATAGAGGTAATATAATACTACTAGTAAAGGACCTGTACTTATTCTTAGAAAGTAAAGGCAAAATACCGCTTCTAATATTTAATAATTCTCCCGAACTTAAAGAAGGAAAATATATCCTCTAAAACCCGGTTAATCTCGAAGTTTAGCCTTTAACTAGAATAGATAATATTCCGATAGTCGGTTCTTTACTAATTTAAAAAAAAAGACTTCTATTTTCTATAATCTAGTTAATCTCGGAATTCGGCCCTTAACTAGAGCAGATAATACCCTTATCCTCTATAATTTAGTTAACCTCGGAATCTAGCCCTTAACTAGAGCAGATAGCATATTTTTCTTAATATTAATAAGAGTAAAAGAACTAGTATTCTCTCTTAAGAATTAGTAATTCTCTGATTTAAAACAAGAGATATACTAATCGGTTTCGGGTTCCTGATTTAAAACGGAAGAAACCCGGTAATTAGTTCCAGTTTACTAATTTAAAATAGAAGCAATTATTTTATATTTGCTCTTTCTTTATTTGCCTCTTCCTTATTCGCCTCTTCTTTATTTGCCCCTCCCTTATTCGCCTCTCGTATAGCCGCCCCTTATATAATATTACTTCTCTAATTCGAATAATTCTGCCCTAGAGGCTTATATATAGTATTCTCCTGCTAGTAAGTTATCCTGTTCTAATAACGGAAAAACGGAAGAGTCTGGCTCTATAGATAATTTGGGTTCTACTAATAGTTCTGTAGATAATTCTGGCTCTATAGACGGTTCTATAGACGATTTCCTAGACGAGCTCGGCTCTCTGGACGGCTTCCTGGACAAGTTTAGTTCTCTAGACGGTTTCCTAAACAGGCTTGGTTCTGCAGACAGTTCTGGGAACGATTTGGACTCTATAGATGATTTAGGCTCTATAGACGGTTCTATAGACGGTTCTATGGACGATTTTGGGTCTGAGGCTAGTTCTAGAGCCTTAGGTAAAAATAGAGGTAACTATTAGTTAGATAGTAACTATTAAAAGCTGGCCGTTTTAGGGATTTTATTAAAACCCTATTTCCTTTATATATCTGAATAAGGGTATTCAGATTTGGTTTCCGGGGGAATAATATAATAGTACTGGCTAGGGGCCAAAGGAGAGTGGCTATTATATAACTGGTTTTACCTAGCTAGCCGGCGTTTCATTGGTTTTAGCTAATACTTCTCTTCTTTTATTCCCTTTCCTTCTCTCTCTCTCCTTCTTCTCTTTAGCTTAGTATTTTTAATATATGAGATTCTTGGATCTTTGAGCCCTGGCTATTGCCTCGATCCCGCTATTATACTAAGGTAATACTAAAGCAAGAACCTTATTTAATTAAGCTAGTTTATTATTTAATATAATTATATATATATATTAAATAAAGTATTCATAATTAATTATTCTAATCTAATCAAAAAATTTAAGTATTATATTAATTATATTCTAATTAACTTATTTATAAATATTTGTAATTAATTAATTAATATAATTGATTTTTTTCGTATACTAATTCTATGCTATATAATTGACTTATATAGTAACTTAACCTCTCTTTCACATATACCGACTTCGTCTATACCTTGCAATAGCTAGCAGATCGCTCTTCGTCTTTTATACCCCACCCCCTCACTCCTGTTCCAGTAATGGCAACGGACACCACTTCGGCGAACTGACGGATTTGAATGTTATTAGTATTAATGCTATTGATTCCATTCGGACGCTACCACGCGCTAGCTCGGTTTCTCTAAAGCGTCGACAATAATACAGGTCTAAAGGTCGGTATATACGATGCGGCTTTCATAATCACTGGGTTAATAATTGCTCTCTACGCCCATTTTACCTAGCGCAAGGGACAAAACCAAAGACGGGCCGGGTGACAATAGATGCTTTAGATGACGACGCATACGATAATGACGATGCATGGTTAGAGGGCTTGGGTTCTTCATTGACCTCAAGGAACATGAAAGGAGTAGATAGACTGGATTGGTGCAAGTACCTTTGACGCTCGGGGCAAGCTCTTTTCCAAAGGGGGGTTGGATGTGACGGTTCTGCCAGGAGACGGCTGCAACGCTGGTTGTCACGTGTTCTCGCACCAGTGTTTCCAGTGTTAGATATAGGGGCAGCTTAATTCTTGCCTCCTCTTGCTTCTGTAACTATTGTTCTAAGAATGAGAGTACTGCCTTGATATTGTTAGTCTTGAGTGCCTCGTCACATATAGCTGACCAGTCGTCTTTCGTCCCCTCTTCTGAGTCTTCTCTTCTTCTCTCCTTACCTTTAGATCCTCCTATAAAGGGTATTCTCCTATAAAATCCAGATATAACGTCGCATTCTGACTTATCGGTGCCTATGTCTTGTACGGGTCGTCACACTGGCTATCCAACACGGGACCGGGGTGGCGTCATGCATCCTCAATTCGGCGATTATCGTGATGTCGAGACAGATCGGCAAGTATTAGCTTCACCAAATAAGGATCATTGTTCAGTTGCTCTAAGTCTTCGCTACGTCACTTTGAGGTACTCGCCTTTGAATTTGGACATGTGGTTGTTGAGTAATTATGCGCTGGCTGTCTGAAATCGAGTTTTGGAACTAGTTTCACTTGCCGCTGTAGCCCCGGGCTGTAATTGGTCGGTTCACAGACCGCCCTTAGTTTCGCCGGCTGCCTACAAAATTCCGGTAAGCAGGCTCGTTTCGCCTTGACCTCACGACATCCTCATTCACGATCAAGAGCTCGGCAGCTCAACCATGCGGCTCATAAATGTTCAAACCTTCGAGGTCAGAGAGTCCTATGGGCTTGACAAGGCACCTTACGCCATTCTCTCCCACACCTGGGGCGTCGAGGAGGTCAGCTTTCAAGACTTCCAAAGGGGCGGCGCGACGCATTTACTTGGCTTCCGCAAGATCCAGTCCGCATGCCGACGGGCTCTCCGTGATGGCCTGGAGTGGGTATGGATCGACACATGCTGCATCGACAAAACTAGCAGCGCCGAGTTGAGCGAAGCCATTAACTCGATGTACCATTGGTACTCGCAAGCTTCGTTGTGTTACGCATACCTCGGCGATGTTATCGCTCCTAATAATGACGGCGGCGGCTTGCATGATCACATTCAGAGCACTCGCTGGTTTACTCGGGGCTGGACTCTTCAAGAGTTGATCGCGCCCCCTCAAGTTATTTTCTTTGATGCAAATTGGACGCCCATCGGAACGAAGACTGGCCTGGCCCACTTGATCTCCAAGGTGACCCATATTCCGTTGTCCTGCCTATTAGGTTCTGCCCGACCCTCTGAGTTTAGTGTGGCTGCTAGAATGTCATGGGCGTCATTGCGGCAATGTACACGTGGAGAGGATATTGCATATTGTCTTATGGGCTTGTTTGGGGTCAACATGCCCCTCCTGTACGGGGAAGGAGGCTCGAAAGCGTTCAGCCGCTTACAGTTGGAGATATTACAGACCACCGATGATCAATCGCTTCTTGCTTGGGCCACACGAGACACCATACAGCATCATGGGATGTTGACGAGCGTGCTTGCCAAATCACCTGCTGACTTCTACGGCTTTGGAGACATCCAGGTCGTATCTCCGGATATCAGGAGACCTACTGCCATGACGAACATTGGTCTCCACATTTCTCTTCCTTTGAAGCTAATAACTCCCGACGATTCATTACTTCCGGGTATCCCCGAAGGAACAAACGTCTTTCAAGCTTCCTTAAATTGCGGGAAAGATACCCAACATCTCGTGATGATCTACCTCATTTCGGAGCCTCAGAAGAAATCTTCGAATTTCTACTACCGTTGCAATCTCCCTTTACCACAGTATGGGCCAAAAATTGACGCAGAGATAAAAGACATATATATTATGAATCGGTTGGAAGAATCACTCATCCAGCGTAACCCTCTAAGCTTCGAACGGCTACAGGCACGCGGCTTGGAGTGTTTCTCAGGCGCGGGGGTAGTTCCAGAAATAAATCAGCTGGAATTAAGTCCAAGGACTTACAAGACTCCCTTACCGAAACATGAGAGTGGAAATCCGATCGTTTTCGAGAGCCCGACAACAAGCCAGGCTATCACCTACCTCGAAATGGAACTCTACAGACGTCAAGTAAGGAACATTAGTGGCAGAACCTTTATCCCAGAAGGTACAATAGAGCAAATCCTAGATGAGGCCATTATTGGTCAGACGCTGCGAGTCTTTCTAACTTCACCTCTGATTCGAAGCCAAAATTCAGACGAGTTGCAGTCCCGCAAGAAAATTTTCGTCATTCTGCTGCTCGCAGATCTGCTCAAATTCATTGAACCGGTTCTTTATAGAATTGGGGTCGTTGACTCTCTACTTCCCATGCCAGATCCGCAGCTCCTTTCTGGCAAATTGCCCCGTTCCATTCAAAAGGAAGAAGAGAAGGAGCATTGGGAGAAATGGAAAACTGTCTCAGAGGTGTTTGGCCGGCCAAGCTACGTCGAAAGGTTCTTCTTTGCGCAATGGCGCGTTCTAGCACCTTTCATTCGCGGCAGGGACAAAGTGCTGCACTATTTGTTCACTCCTAACCACATCTTGCCTTTCCTACCCAGCGAGTCTCAGACAAGTGGTCTATCGGAGATAGACTCCGATTTCTTAGAAGAGCAATTGAGATACGGTTCATTTAGCGAGGTGAGACGAGTAAAAATCCACCCAGATCATTATGACTTTGGGGATTATGGAGTAAGTCTTGATGTTCGCGAACTAAATGGCGTCCGCTTATTACTACCCAGATCAGCAATCCAAACCATTTATTTGCCATCAAGCAGCTCCGGGCAGTCGACCACACGAGCTTTCAATTGGAAACGAAGGCTTTGGCTCATTTCCGTCGGCCGCACCCCCCTCAAATCATCCAACTTCTAGCGACATACGAGGTTGGAAACGATTTGCAGGAAGGCTCTCCGTCAACTTATCACTTGATATTTCCATGGGCAGATGGAGATCTTCGATCTTTTTGGAGTGCCGAGAAAAGATATGTTGGCGACCCGAGCATTATTCCGTGGCTCTCAGAACAGTGTTATCAACTCGCCACAGCCGTAGCAGCTATCCACGAGGGCTATTCGACCTCTAGTGAAGATTATCCAGGGGAGCCTCAACACGTATTTGGAAGGCATGGGGATATAAAACCGACAAATATCCTATGGTTTCCACCTCTCCAGAAGGACAAGGAGGCGAACTTGGGTCAGCTAATTCTTGGGGATTTCGGGCTGGCGGCCTTCCACCGAAGGGACTCACGATCGAATTTGACCTCCACTAATATCCCCCGGTCAATGACTTATTCAGCCCCCGAGTTTGTCACGAGAGAGAAAGTTTCACGAGCCACAGACATATGGGCGCTAGGGTGCATCTTCCTAGAATTCATCACTTGGTATCTTGAAGGTGCGCATGCTGTCAACGAAGAATTTCCCGAGTTTCGTGCTACCGCGGATGTTTTTGGAATTAGGTCCGACACGTTCTTTGAGGTTATTGGCTCTTTGGATGACCCAGGGGATGGACACATTTCGAGGGTTAAGCCTGAAGTAAGCGCCTGGTGTCTGCGCCTGTCCAGGAATCACAATTGCAGCCTGTATATCCGAGACTTCTTGGCTCTCATCGAGCGGATGCTAGACGTGGAGCCAAAATCACGAATCACCGGCACTGATGTGGCGGAGAGGCTACTTGTATTCCGTCGCCGTGCGCAATGGATGCCCGGTACTATCAAGGAAGGTTTTAAGTAGTTGAAACATCGTCGGGCGATGCATTTTCTCAGTCAATGCAAGCTAAGGGAGCCAGCAACAATAGCCACAGTGCGTCGTCGCGGTTGTTTCTCAGGACATTTTTAGCTTATGGAGTCCTTTGGGCCGCCATAATCGATTTTGAGCAAGGTACTGTAATTCTCACGAGTAGATAGATATGAAGACAGGGCTCCTGAGCCGCTATATTTCAAGTAGTCATCACTGGACCTTTGACACGGCATTCTCGGTTAGATTGTCATATTTTTACATTCGGAGCCGGATTGGAATAGAGTCACTGGTACATTTCCATGCATTGGAGCTTGAATCCCAGAAACGTTTTCATAAATTACATTGATGCCTCGATACGTTCGTGGTAACATTCCCTCATGTTTTACTCGCATAATATAAACCTAACGCCTACCCATTCAATGCAACGAGGTATCCTTTGTTGGGAATTCTTACGGCTCTCAAATGAAGTGAGGAGAAGGTGCAGTAGCAAGGGGCTAGTTTCCAGTAAGATAAACTTCGCGTCTCTTACTCCCGGAGAGAGAATTTTTATTCCTTTCCGAGTTCCCATCGATTACGTAGGCTCACTTCTCTCTCCACCTTTTCATAATACTTGATAGGCTGGACGCTGTGGACCTTCGGACCGGCTGTTGGAACTTAGGTTCTGAGTCTCTACTTGTTTCTGCGACGTCTTCCTGCTCAGCTACAGATGCCGTCGTCGTCGTTGGCGGCGCGGGTTGATTTTCATGGATCGTGTTGAGGTTCGGCGCCTGGCCGCCATCTCTGTTCCTAGCCTCAGCAGCTGCCAGGTCTTTGGCGCGCTTGCGGAATGTATGCGCCAGATCTCTGATCTCCTCCAATTGTTTCTATCAGTTTAGTAAGCTTAGCAAGATCATATTTAATCGGCAAACATACCGGGCTAAGTCCTTCCTTTGTCGTGATGATGTATTGGTCGAACTTGTTCTATGGAACGTGAGATGAGCCACGATCGTTCCCACGAGCAAATCAGGTCTACCTACATCAACTGTAAATTTGCCTGGCCCCAATTCCTCGTTGAGATACTTCATCAGTCTCCTCGGGTTGATATATCTCATCAAAATCACCTGCTGCTCGCAAGATCCTTCCATCCTCAAAATGCGTGGCGATGCGGGTTTGAGTTGGGGTTCGGAAGCTTTGGCGAATAAAGGGTGTCTGAAATTGGTTGCTCTAAGGTGAAACGGGTGGTAAATCCTCTGACTGAAGTGAGTGCGGCGACACCAGGTAAACTTTGACGTTGGGGTTTGCCACAGGAATAGGAATCGCCGTTTAAAAGCAAAGGCATCAGAGGGCCGCCTCAGGCGATTTTATCTATGCGTGACGTGGTTATCCTCAGCACACGTGATTTCGGGCTGCGCTGTTTTAACACAGCCTCCATGGGTAGGAGTCATAGGTGATGTTGGCTGAGACCCGAATGTTAGTGATCAGGCCCCTGTCACCACCGCCTGATCATTGGCTTGGCTACTCTATCCCGTGACCAATCGAGGTTATCGTGCGGCACCCATTCGTCGTTGCTTTTCAGCTCTTGAAGACCCCTGCTTCCCGCCCTCCTAATGGAGACACTTCCAGCGGGCTACGTCCGGTTTCTGTACGGTTCGGCACGGAGGGCGTCCTTACCTGAGCGGCCGGCGTCGTTTGGCGAAATGATGAAAGCCTGGCCTTGCTGCACTTCAGCGCCCCTCCAACCCTTTCGACTGAAGACAACGTTACAAAAGGGGCCGACCCCCAGAACCCGCTAAGCTTGGGTTTTCTCCGGACGTACTTCGTACGGCTGAAATGCCGTGGACCCTGCCTCATCAGAATGGATTGGGTACCCAATTCCGACCTCTTCGTAGCCCCTAATCGCATTGATGAATTTGATTGCGAGTTGGATGTTAAAAATGCAGGACAGTGTTGCAAGGTCGTTCAGAGCTACAGCGTGGTGAACGCTGTAAGATTGAGTCTCGCCATGGTTGCCAAGTCTAAATGCTTACGAAACTATAGGCCGGCCAAGGCACGATTGTTAATAACGAGATCATGCTTTTGGATGTACAGGATTGGAACGATTGGTTCACGGTAGGTCCTCCACTGCTCCTTTTTAAATGCTTCCGTCATGCAATCGTTGCTTCACATACGTTATGGTCTAAGCATCGTCATGTACTAGTCTCAGGTATTCGTCCCAGACGACGCGACATTAACATTAGCAAGTATTCCACAAAATGGATTTTGTATCCTGTAAGCCTCCTTCCTAGATCCTTTAAACTTTGCCGGCGTTGTATATTTACGCAAAATTCTTGCTGTAGTTTCATCCCAAGAGCTGCGGACGCGGAACTCACCGAGTCTACGATAGCATCTGGATTCACAGATCTTCCTATGAGTAAGGACCACTGGGAGAAGGTCGCAAACGCATTTCACTTACCCGGACACTTTACAAAGGTCGCCACAAGACGGTTGACATCCATAATCACGATATATCGCACCTGCGAGTTCTCACAAGTTAGGGAGAAGCTCTGGATGCACACGTTCACGATCAATCCGAAGAGCCATCAGGCATTCGCTGTGGCTGCCACACACTTCGAGTCATGCCAGTTTACTTTTTCGATCATGGTTGGTTGCACTGACGACCAGATTAACAACGTCAAACGGCTGGTTGCAGGTTGGCAAGACGCGAGCGGACATCCGCTCCTGATGCTAGGGATATGCGCCGAGCTCGAACTTAACCGCCTGGAAAATCTAATAGGCAAGCAAAGGCGCGCCTACGAGAATTTGATTTGAAAAGATCGAAGATGACGCAGTCAGTATTGGTCACGATCGATTTAGTTGGGAGCTCATAAAAGAAGTTCGGTCGATTCGAGATGAGAGCAAGACAGTCGAAGAAGAAACCGAAACGACGAAACTTCAGCTGTCCAAAGCTATTTTGCCGGGAATTGCGACACTTTTGGCCCAATATACCAATGATGGTACCTCGAGAGGAGGTGAGAATCTTGATGCTAGACCTCCTGCTGCCGCTACGCCTGCTGCCACCACACCTGCTGCTACTACCGCTACTCCAACTCCTATTGCCATTAGACAAAATCGCGAAACATTTGTTGAAATTACAAATCTTTTCTCGGAACGATTTAATGATATCTTGTCCAGATTTGACGGTCTGAGCGCAAAATGCAGGATATATGTAGAGGGAATATCATTTACTACAGATATAGTAAGTTTTACCTCATGGAATATAGCTTGAACCACAGCTAGTCGATTGGAAAGATTGTTGATAATGCTTCAGATCAGAAGCGAACTAGCGAGACAAGAAGCCAATATAAGCACGCAAAACACAAAATTTGGGGCTGCAATCTCCTTTGTAGCTTTGGTTTTTCTCCCCGCGACGGCCATTGCTGTAAGACTTTTCTTTTACGAGTCTCCTCAGAAGGACGGCTGCTGACAAGCAACACTAGACCATATTTGCTATGCCTATATTTGGATGGACTAACGACTGGATTGATCTGTCCTTCCATCCCATCAAACAGGATAATACTTCGTCCTCTAATTCAGGTTCCAACAATGCCCCCAAGCTGCCCGTGGTTTCTGGATACTTATGGGTCTATCTCATCATAGCAGTCGTTATCACTTTGGTCACCTTGGGGATTTTTCTTTGCTGCATTCGTGACATAATATGGCCTAAAAGCCCGGGCGGCGGAACTCGAAATGCTGGCAAAGCTCCGGCAGCAAACCCACTAACACCTATAACCACGACCACGATCACGCAACCAATCCAAACGCTGGTTTCCTCTACAACTATTCGATCACAAGCTAGCTCGACCGCTACAAGGAGCACCGGTGGTGGTGGTCATACAGGACATCAGACAGCAGTCCGACGGCGCATTATCCCGCCTGGACTTTCGGCTTCCACTTCCAACCTCGCAAACCCCCGCCAAGTTGTTGACGCGATGCCAGCCCGTGCTTCAACATTTGGAGTATCTAGCACTGTGCGACCTGCAGACGGTATGAGCGAATTCCGGAGAGAAAATGCAGCTCACGCCGAGGATTCTCTTCCATCTGGCATTGTCTAGTTTTATTTATTACAATACCGGCTGTGGTCAGGGCCGAACCCAGTTTTTGGGCTATTCTCTCGGTATCAGGTGATACTTTTTAATAACCTCTCAAAAGGTCTGTTTAGGAGATCGGTACCTACTCCTCGGGAGAACATCCGCCAGGGCTTTTATTAGAGGAGTTTATCGGCCTTATATCAAATTAGACATGACTTAAATCTTCTGTATTAACTCTTGATTCAATAAGTGTTTTTCAGGTATTAAAATTCCATTATCTTTCTTGAATCTCTTGATCTACTAAGTTGCCTCAAGAATTTATTTGCTTGGAATATTTCAATTAGATTACACTGCCCGTAATCTATATGGTTTCTGTGGCACACACCAAGAGCTGCCCATCGCCATTATCCTCATTAGAGTCTATGTTACTGCACCAAATAAGGACTAGCCTTTGCAGCTTAGTTAAGTTTCAAATATTTGCCATTTAAATCGCGTCCAAGAAATACCCACTTCCCCTGTCATCCATCGAGGTAGGACGGACAAGCCCCATCTTTCCCAAGCTGCACGACACCAGCAAAGGTCACGGACTGAGTGCCGTGGCCAATGTAATGGCGGTGATTTAGATCGCGCAGTCAGAAGCAACTGCGTCGAAGGGTTATTACGAGGCTTTTCCACATTCTAGGGATGAAATAAACCGACTTCATAATTCCTGTTCGAAGTATATAAACTTTAATATTTTGTATTTATAAGTATTAGTAATTATAACCCCTAATATAAGCTAGTACTTAGAAATAATTTTATATATACTAATTAGAATTAGTTATATAATATTAGACTTAATAGCTTTAATAAAAAGTAATATAATAATTAATATTTAATATTTCTAATAATAATAAAAACGAAATATATATATAAGAAAATAAAAATACTTATGTATTATTAAAATAACTAGCTTTTTTAAAGCTCTTATTACTAGAATTTAACTCGCTAATTCTTAATACTTTTTTATTAAAAATAAAGTAATAATTTATTTAAATATAAATTAAAAAATATTATTATATAATAAAATATAAAGTTTAATTAAAGATTATAATATATATCTAAATAATATTAATATAAATATATATCTCGTTTTCAAATAATAATAGCTTATTATATTTATAATATTTATAATATAATTACTTCGAAATTAAAAAGTTATAATATTATAAATAAGCTTTTCTTATAAATAATAAAATATATTAATAAATAAGGTTTTAACTTTCAAATTAAAATAAAATCATATTTAAAACTTAAAACTTATTTATTATTTAAGTATAAATTTAAAAAATATATAATTATTATTAGAATATATATAAATTATAATATATATATAATTTAAAGGCATATAATAAATCTCGGATATTACGGGTATTAATTAAGGAAATTAATAGCCCTTTAATATTATAATTATATATTATATTATAGATAGTGTATTAAATGATTTAGCTTGATTTAATTATTGCCTCTGAATCAAATCAAATCAAGTCAAAATCTACTTAATCAAATCATAATTAACTATAGTTAATTATAGTTGATTATTTAGTCACGTGACCGTGCACGTACGCTCGGAGATTAGAAAAGCGAAATAAGGCTAAAATAAGGCTTAGGCTAGCCTGTATCCGGTATTGCTTAAGGTGCTCCTTACTAAATCGGGTATCGTGCCGCTTGGCAAGCGAAGCGGTACTAGCCGAAAGCGCTAAAACCTCCTCGATTTTCTCGTAATTTCTCGCTACTTTATAAATCTTATTATTATAAATAAAATAGTTAAAAATAGGCCCTTCTATAAATGGGCGCTTTAATATTAGGGGGTTATATCTAATTAGACGCTTATTAAAGAATCTTCTAGATTCTAGAGGTTTTATATATAAATAAGTGATTTTCCTCAAGTTATTTCCTTTCTTCTTATTTTATATATAAATATCTCAATAACTATAGCTCCAATTAAGAAGCTTTTGACTATAAACTTACTTATTTTTACTCGATATATTCGAAAATGTCTCAATAATCTTTAATTAATCTTAATATCCCTCAAAGTAGGGAGGAATAAAAAAAGCAGAAAATAAGAATAAAAAAGATAAAGAAGAGGTTTCTAAGGAGGATAACTAGTTTTTTATACCAGATTTAGACTAGCTTTATACTCTTATATATATATTATAAGCTTTGTTTATATCTTATTAATATAGCTGTTAGTTATTTAATAATTATTTAAGTTACTTGAGAAATTCAAGTTTTCTTAGTATTACGTAATAATTATAGTTAATTATAATTAATTATAATTATAATTAAATCAAATCAAGTCAAAATCTATTAAATCAAATTATAATTAACTAGCCTTGATTTTTTTTAATATACTAATTATAGATAATAAATAATAAAGGTTATATTAGTATAATATAACATAAGTAATATCTTAGAAGTAGTACTTTCCTTATATAGTAATTAATTATTTTTTATACTTTACTTAATTCATTCCTCTTATATAATAAGTAGTAGTAATTATCGGATTCGTATATATTACGATATAACCTGGGAACCTCTTTATTTTAGTAGTGTTTCCGCCTATAATCCAATAACCCTAAAAAGTACGAGCCGTATTTAATAACGAGTTCGACCTTCCTATAGGACTTTATTAACCTCGCTTATTAATTTAATTAGTTTCGAGTAACCGGCTATTAATTTATAGAGAGAATACAAACTATTAATAATATTATTAATTGCCTGGTTCTATAATATCTTGCTATAGTCCCGAATATAATATAAAATAGTTACTATAACTAGTTAGCCTTAATTAATGAACTCGTAACTATATAATAACTTTCTTACCTAGCCCCACTGAGTATATTGGCTATTAATAGATCCGTATTTAATACTGCTATTAAGAAATTCGCTCTCTTTATAGACAAATACTTCCTGCCGCAGAATAAAGATATAGCTAAAACCGGAAGAAGTATTAAAAATAATAATTACTATACCGAAACTAGTACAGAGCCTTAATTAAGCCGCTAATCTTTGGAACCGAATAGTAATAGGACTAAAGAGATTCCTAGAATAAATAATAATGGCAGTAATACGGCTAGTATAGCCCTAGTATAAGAGTACCTTCTTTCCCCAGAAATGGCTACTAAAATAGCCGTATTTATTATATAAGTACTAGATAAACGTAATAGATACTAGAGATGCCAGTCACTTGGCAGTAATAGAGCTAGAGCGAATAATAGAAATAATAGAGAAAATAATAATTTTAATAATAGGAACCAGAGCTTTGGTAATAAATATAATATAATTAATATAAGCGGGATTTCCTTGAGATAGAATTCAGAAGATATTAGTTTTTTTAAACCTAATAATTCCGTAAATATAGAAGATTATAAATATTAAGAAAAGGCTATTATCTAAAGAAATATATATCTTTTTATTAATATCTTTTAATTTAATATATAAAAAGAATATAACAGTATTATATATATAAACTTATATACTTACCTATATAGAATAGCTTAGAGATAATATATAGAGAAAATTAAAGAAATAATAAAACTTGCCTTTTAATTTATACTAGAAAAAGTTATATTATAGGCAAAGCATTTAGTAAACCGCTTTAAAGACTTTATACCTAAAGTAATAAAAAAGCTCTAAGACGAAAAATATACTATAGAAGATATAAAGAAAGATTATAATATTTGCAGATATATAATAATAATTATAAGATATATAAAAGCTATAGAAATAGATAAGCTATATTAATAGCTCTCTTATATATATAATAATCTTGACCCGGAGCTATAACTATATATCTCTGCCCTAGATAAGAAAATACTAGTATTAGAATAGCTTAAGAACTTGGCTAATAAGTAGGAAGTATAATAAGATATAATTATAATAAGATATTCTTATAATATCTTAACTTAATTAGTCTTATATTTTAATACTAGAGATATAAATCCCAGATATCCGTAAAATAGTAACTATTAGAGTATTACTTCCGGATTTCGCCCTTACTAATCCCGGCTATAATAATAGCCATACCAGTTTTAATAAAGAAATAGTACTAATTATAAGTAGAATATAAGATTTCTCTTATTACTAAAACCCAGATATCTCCTTACTATAATATATAAAAAAGATAAAAAGAATAAGACTTGCTTTAATAAAGGATATTCTAAGTAAGAATATAATAGGTAATAGTTTTATTAATATTACTAAAATAAGAAAGCTAATCTAGTATCTAATTATATTAATATACGAGAAGATTATAAAAATAAGTATAAAAAGAAATTAGAAAATAATAAATATATTACTATAGAAAAGTTTATTTTCTCAGACTTCCCGGTAAATAATATATAATTTCTATAAGACAAATTTTACTTAGCTATCTCTAATAATATTAAGTCTTATATTTATAGAAAATATAATAATATTTTCTTATTCTATTCTTAAATATTTAAATATATTTATACTAATACTTATAATAAAATAGAAGCCGGAACTATAATAACTTCTAAAGCTATAGAGCCTATTATAATAAAGGTTATTAAAGTAATCTCTTATAAAGTCAGATATAAAATAGATAAGATTTCTTATATATATATAAAAATATATATATAATTTGGACTAGGGAAGCCTATAAAATTAATTTATATTAATACGGGATATATATGCCCCGTTATAAGCCGGAAATAACTAGAAGGCTATAAAAAAGTTTTATATAATATTTCCTAATTTATATTCTTTAAAGAAATCCTAAATAAAGTTATATTTATAAAGCAAGTAATCTTTCTTATATATATATTCGGTATAGTAAGTAGCTAGAGATATTTAGGCAAGATTTTTATTATAATATAGGTTATAGACTAACTAGAACCGGGCCTATTTCTCGGTAATAAATTTCTTTAATAGATATCCTTAATTATTAATTACTAGAACTCTATAATTATAGTAAATATATATAATAACCTTATTATAAATATTATAGTTCTTTATTATATTCCCAAAATAATATATTATATTCTTATAGCTAGAAAAATTATTATTTCCCTGAAATTAAGAGTAATAATTCTAGTCTAGTATATACTAGTTCCCGAAAACGGAATATATTTCTTCTAAAGAAGCTATATAAATATAAAAGATATAATTCTGAATTATACTAACTTTATTAGTATAATTAATA